AAATAATAATTGTAAAAATGCTCACCCTTATCACTAAAACATTTATATTATTTATGCAAAATTAATTAAAACAAGGAAACCAAAGGATAATTAAAACTAGGGCTGCCGACAAAGAACTACGCTTAAAAAAAAATTATAAAAAGTAAGCTAATTAAAATGAAACGAAAACCAAAGAAAATGTGCAAAAAAGGCCAAACTAAAACAAACAAAACCACGAAAACCAAGGATAAAACTACTAAAGATACGAGTAAAAAGGGGTGGAATCAGGCAGGTGGAAGAATGCCGTGACGGGAAAGTGTAGTTTGTCCGACCAGGGAAGCGCGCAGGGGGAGGATGTTCGCCGTCGCGAGAGATACCGTCGCGCGTGGCGACTAGCCACACTACACTAGTAAAACACAAACCACAAGTAAGACTAAAACACGAAATTATAACAAAATCAGTAAGAGAGAGGGGAAGAAAGAGTAGGAGGGAAAGGAAGAGGAGGGGAAAGAGGAGGAGGAGGAGGAGGGGAAGGAAGAGGAGCTGTATGGGAAGGAAGAGAGAGGAGGTGTAAGAAAAGGAAGAGGAGGAGGGGAAGGAAGAGGTGTAAGGGAAGGAAGAGGAGTCTAGTGATCTGTTCTCGTGATCTCTCTCTCGTCTCCCTGACATTGAAAGTCTCGTGGTGGCAGCGAGAACCAATACCATACGCAAAGCATATGTGATATATTCAGTCAGATATAGAATGATATTAAGCTATATATGCAACAGAGTATCGGGAGTCACTACAGGGAGGAGACTGGGTGGCTGAGAGAAACGGGTGTGTGTGGGTTGGAGAGAGGAGAAAGGTTGAAGGGGAGGTGCGGTAGGGGGGGGGGGGGGGGTTGCGTGATGGGAGAGGTCTGTTGCCGGGTGATGGGGAGATCACCCGGCAACCGAACCCACAAATCCTACCCACCTACCCACTCTCTCTCCGTTCCTTCCGGTCTTCCCTACACTTCGCCATTTCTTCTTTACATATATACAAACGTTCCAATGCGTTAATTAAATGGGTGGTGGCAGCTACACATTAAATGGGCGGGGGGGGGGGGTCAGAATGCAATGCCTTCAGCTCTCCTTCTCTCTCTCTCTCTCTCTCTCTGTTTCTTTACTCATTTCTGTCTTTCTCTCTCTCTTTCACTTTATATATCTATCAGTCGATATCTATCTATTACTCTCTCTCTCTGTTTATTTCTGTATTTATTTCTTTGTCTTTCTCTCGCTCATTCCTTCTGAGATGTAACCTTTAAGATAAAAGATGCAAGTCTTTCCATGGCTCTCACCTCCTCAGCCTCTGGCCACACTCCTTAACCGCATTAAAGCAAATGTCATCTCCTCTCACCCGGCAACAGACCTCTCCCATCACGCAACCCACCCCCCCTACCGCCCCTCCCCTTTAACCTTTCTCCTCTCTCCAACCCACACACACCCGCTTCTCTCAGCCACCCAGTCTCCTCCCTGTAGTGACTCCCGATACTCTGTTGCATTTATAACTTAATATCATTCTATATCAAATTGAATATATCACATATGCTTCGTGTATGACATTGGTTCTCGCTGCCACCACGAGACTTCCAATGTCCCGAACGATCAGGGAGTCTCTTGTGCTCTCTGGAGGTTTGATTAGTATATGTTAGATTCACTGTTAAATACGAAGAGAAGCATGAGCACGCCATGCGTTAGAATATGACGAACGTGACAAATAACAGAGAACACTGACATAGAGCATGCATTATGAAATAAGACGAGAACACAAACAGGAAACGATGAACACATTATATGTGGGTGTAAACAGCGTGCCTACATCCTCCTCCCCTTCCCTCACTCCCACCTATCCAGCCTCTTTCCCCACCTCATCCCCTCCCCCTCACCTACCTTCTCTTTCCCATCCCAGTCTCTCCTCCTCACCCACAGAGCCAGTATCTTCACGAAAGTACATGAACTCAGAAATTTGTCTTTGACAGAAATTTTATCTATGACTCCTCGCAATTTCCACCTGTGACTCGGCCGATGTTAAAGGCAGCTCTAAGGACTGTCTTTAAATTGTCCTTAAGAGTCGCCAACAACAATCTGCGGTTTTACATCAGAAATGAAATATAATACTTTTCTGTCACATATCCAATACAAATGGCGGCGCGCCCCTTGTCAGCTGACGCGATCATAACAAATGTAGAGGTACCACATGAACATATAAGGTAATTGAGATTCACTGGAATAGTAATTTTATTTCATAATCACAGAATTATTGCGATAGGGCCTTCAAAAATGTAAATATAACAGTTAAGTGTTAAATTAGAAATGTGGCACACAGTGTCATAGAATACCGCCCCAGGTGCGGTATCTACGAACGTTATCTTGTATATATAGAGAGAGAGATGTGTGTATATATATGCATGCACACACACACATATACGCATATATATGTATATATTTATATGTATATGTGTGTGCTGTGCCCATCATATTAAATAGTCTTTGGCATCAAAGACTTATTGTGTTAGATTAATAAATGTTTCATTGTTCAAGGATTGAGTGAAATCTTTATGAAAAGGCAATACATTTATTAATATCATCATTCATATTTATTATTCCAGTATAATAAAGCTACAATATCAAAGAATATATGAAACAAAAAGTATACAAGACATTATTTGGGTTCTTGACACTTTACATACAATTAGACAGTTATGACTCACTGTTATATAGTTGTCATGAAACTCAAAATCAACATCCAATTCAAAAACATGTTTTATCTTAAGGAATCAAATATCGTGAAACAAGAGAGTGATAATTAAAAAATAAATAATTTAGTATCTCAAAGTTAACAAATGAATTAGATATTACACAATGAAATAATGATCACGAGACGTAAATAGTTAATAAAAAAAACATGATTAGAGAATTAAATATCAAACAACAAGAATATTGGTCAAAAGAGAAACGAATGGTTAATCATAATAAGTTGTTTTTCTATTGCACAAATAAGTTAAGCCCCAAGCAAGCAAAAGCAGTGATCATGAAAAAAGCAAATACTTGTTTACAAAAAATCAGCTTTCTGCTCCATCGGAAAATGAAGGGACTCACCACTACCTACACGTTTGAAAAACACTTGATTATATAATCACAATTACAAAATCAACTCTTTATAAAAATATATCTGACACAATATTGCAACATTAGTTAAATTTGACAGACACGTTATTTCGTTATCTCTTCATAAAAAAATCTTCTTAATCTTCAGTATATCACATAATTATTTTTTATAGTCCGAAAGATATTGTATCTAGACTTTTCTGTGTTCCACAAAAACTTAACACTGTATCACTTTTTCTACCTGACATTCGAGTTCTTTTCTTGTTCCCAGACTGATACATACTGGTTTATATTTCGATCGATTCGAACCACTGGTCGTTTCGCCCTTGAGATGTCTTCTTTTGCTTCTGCTGGTCCATCATGCGGTGTGACCTTCTGACACATGATGCTCTCGCCATTGTGTCACGAGGCGCTTCTGCTTTTGGCATCGACGTCTTATCCTGTTGGCCATTTTTTTTTTTTTTCAATGGAATCCGCTTCGAATCCTCTTATTTAGCATCTCGTCCCGTCTTGTTTGTTTCGCCCTCGTGTTGCTCACATGATGATGACTATGCCTTCGAGTGTGTACGGCATGTGTATACACACACACACACACACATGTATATATGTATATATACATATATGTATATTTCCATATAAGGATATATAAAGATACATATATATGCACATACATACGTATGTATATATATATATATATATATATATATATATATATATATATATATATATGTATATATATGTATATATCGCTCATTCATTTCAACAATGACATAACTCAAAAAAGGATACTTTTCAGGAGAAGCAAAATAAACTTTTAACATGTAATACAGTCTTCCATGTAAGTTTTAAAAGAGGTATTTAGCAATGAAGTTCTATTTCAGGATTCAATGTAGTGCATGACATCAAATATAATAAAATACACTTAACTGAAATAAAACGCTATGCCAACTAAACGATTCGTCTGAAAGAAAATGAGTCACTATGCCTTGAGCGACATATAATGGACAATTTTGATACTAGAGTTATGGCGTTCTTACCACAAATAAATATAGAAAATGACAAATTCAGTGATATAACTAACTCAAAATCTTCAATTTTTGAGTTATGTCACTGTTGAAATAAATGAGCGATATGTATATATATACATATATATATATATATATATGTTCATATATAGACATACATATATATGTATATATTTGTATATATGCATATTCATAGACTTATATATATGTGTGTGTGGGGGGGGGGGGGCATAAGATGCCCAGTTAACATCAAAATGAAGACTTTAAATGCGCAATGTGTGGGTGGGTGTGTGGTTTTAAGCGTTGATCACATCGGCAACCGTTTGCCGGTTCCCTCAAGAATAAGCTAAAATGGTGCCCATGGCCCTTAGGGATATGCTAAGTACAAGTCAAAAAGGGATATAGATTTTAAATCTTGCAAATCAGTTATTCTCTCGCTCCTACAGTAGCACGCCACTGATGAAAGCCTGTAAAACAAAAGTCAATATAACCGTATCATAGATGTCCTACATACACCTACTGACCTTTATATTTAGTTTTGAGAAATCTTGTTAATACCTTCTCAGCAAAATTTCATCAAAGTCAGAGAAGTTCAGAGCCTACATCAAAAACATTGAATATAATCTTATTTACCACACTTTCCAGTAGTAATTACTATATTCTACTAGTGGACTGTATAAAAATATATTGTCTTAGACGGATAGTCAATGTGCACATTAACAAATGTATAAGATATATACAAGAACCATTGGCAAGGCATGAAGACAAGATATTGTCTGCATGCACTACCAATGACTTCTGGAGACCACATTGGCAATGTTAATAAAATTATATTACATGTGTTAAGTTGTTCAATCAAACCAGATCATGTTTAATAATTTTAATATCAACTTGTCAGACTAATGTATAAAAATATGTACAGATGACATAAAATTGGTCAAGAAGTTAATATTAGATGGAATAGCATTAACCTTTAAAGAAGTCTTTAACAAGTGGCCTTCCCTCATGCCCTGTGTGCTTCCTCCTCGCTGCACGTTTTTTTTTTGTTTTTTTTTCTCAGGAGGCTCACTTTGTCTCTATGGAAATCTTTGGGGCAGAACCGTCAGGAGGATCAAAAATTATGTAAATGGTTAAATCACAGCCAGTACACACTGTAGTAAGGAGATAAGTATTTATATTCACAGTAAATCTTGTAGGACAAAATTCAGTATAACAGATGGGACACTCCTCAATTGCATGGCGGACAATGAGGTAATACCCATTTGCTGGGGTCTCTATGAAAGTTTTTTCAGCATCAGTATTTGCTCGTAATCTGCTAAAACCTGACTTTGATTTAGATCGTTTTGCACGTTTTCTCTTTTTCTTCTTGGGCCCTTTCTGTAACCGAGTTGAATTCGTACTGCCAACCATTCCAGTCATGTCAGACAAACTTGTACTTTGGGAAGCCACATCTCTAACGAGATTGCCACTACAAGTATCAATGTCAGTCTGACGATGTGGTAGGCTGCAAGTACACATATTTTCCCCACTGGATTGTGTAAACAAAACAGGTGATCTTTCCATCCTCGCCTCTGGATAATCTTCGACTATTTCAGTTTTAACGACATCATTCAAATGATCAAGGTCATATGACTGAGAAAGGATTAGGTCATTAGGCCTAGGTGAGTTATTCACTTCATATTTGCCTGTAGGAACACTCTCTTCTGTAAGACTATGAACCGTTTCTAAAGCATTTGAATGCTCTTCATTGGATTCGCTTGGTCGAGAGGTCTCTCCTGTAGGAGCTGTAGGTGGTATTCCTAAAGACTCATTGATATAATTATTATTTTTTTCCTTTCCAAACATAACATCCAGTCTAGCTTCTAGTGTTTGATCTGCATTCTTTTCTTGGTGTATGCTTTCAAGACCATTTCTTCTCGCAGATGGATGTCTAATTTCCTGAATGCTAGCACTGTCTTCCTTCTGTTGGTCACTTTCCTTTGTTGGTGTTTGAAGGGGATTTAAATCAGCGACGCTTCTCGGCTTCCCTGATATGTGGGTAGAATTTTCCGGCTTCTCTGGCGTGGATGTGAAGTTTCTCGGCTCCCACGGCGTGAGGGTACTGCTTCCCGGATTTTCTGAAGTGTGGGACTCCTCCCATGGTGGGTGGGCAGAGTTTCTCGGTTCCCTGGATGTGTGAGGACTGTTTGTCGACTCCAGTGACGTAAGGGAATAGCTTTGTGGTTTCCCTGAAGTGTGGGGCTCCGTGTGGGTAGAATTTATCGACTCCCGTGACGTGTGAGAGTTGTTCTTCGGCTTCCATGACGATTGGGCAAAGTTTTTCGGTTTTAATGAAATTCGAATATTTTTTTTGTGATACAGGGAATACAGTCGCTCTGTGGTCGGAGATCGGGCTACAGCTGCACTTGCCATCTTACAGGTTCTGGAAAGTGGAGAAACACTTTAGTAGTTCTGTCATCGATGGATGCAGTAGGCCACACTAAAGAAAATATGAAAAAGTTTTTGTGTGCAATTTCGACAGCTACACAATTTATCTGGCGAAACATAACAGAACATCTATGAGGTGTAATCCAACACATCCGAAAACACCAGTGCAACTTACATTACTTTAGCAATTGTATGATCTGTATCCAGATATTATTTCTTTCATTTGTTGACTAGATATTGTGCAATTCGTCACATAAGTACGGAAGCAACTTCTTTTGACATGACGGGACGATGGCTCAGGCACGACTGAGCTCTGATACGAGTGCGAGCCCAGCTTCGGGTGGGCTCGACGCTGATTGGCTACACGCTAACCAATGAGATACTGCGTCGCATAGCACTATGGCAGGAGACGCGTCCCGCATCCGTTTTTTTTCGCAACAACTTCGGAACTCGATTTGTTTTCAAATATATAAATATAATGTGTAAATTCAAAGTAACTTAATAAGATCTAATAAACAAAAAATAAGCGAAAACAAAGAGCAGGATTATACCACATTCAAACAAACGCAAAAGAAATTCCTCACAACAACACGCACTTCTCTCTCTCCCGCGTTAGGCAAAAACAAACAAAACAAACTGAAAACAAACACAATGGTATTGACAGTGAAGAGGATGGTGAACAAGAAAATTAGATCGTGAAAACGATGCATTGGTATCTGCAATACTACGATTTTAATTATAAAGTTTTAACAAATACAGTAATAGTAACTCCTCTTATAATAATAATAACGCTGGTAATGTCGATAATGCAGATGATAATGACAATACTATTAATGATAATAATAACAACAGTATTACTACTACTAATAATAAAGGTAATAAGAACAAATATAATGGTGTTATTAAAGATAATGATAATAATAAAAATAGTAATGATAAT